TTTCTGAGACAAAATTTTATTATAAATCTAAATCATATAGTATTGTGACGGATTTATGTTGCATTTTAATTCTCTGCATCTGGTTTTATCTGCGGCATTACCTGAAAGCACCACTGCTATCTCTATATTTCCTACAGAAGTGCTGTTTCTAAATCCTGTCGCTCATGCTTAATAGTTCTTTCTTGATAGTAAGGGCAGAAATGCATTTACAAAAAGCAGCAATAATATGCACAGATTGGCTAGTTTCATTTGATTCTCTGTCCATGGAAGGAGTATAAATGAAATACAGGGTTGAGAAGTGGTTGCTATCTTGAGTGAAATAGAAAATAGAAATAGAAACTTTTGATCTGAGCATTAAGACCTAACTCTAAACTTCACAACTTGCTTTCCAGTTATGTATGTATGTATGTATGTATGTATGTATGTATGTATGTATGTATGTATGTGTGTGTGTATTTAAGTATTAAGTAATTAAGTAATAAGTATAAACATGGATTGGAGACGTAAAATAGATACAAAAAGAGGAAACATTAGGACAGGGATGGTAGGCACGCTGGTGCTCTTATGCATGCCCCTTACAGACCTCTTAGGAATGGGGTGAGGTCAACAGTAGACAGTCTTAGATTAAAATTTTGGGGGTTTGGGGATGAAACCACAGAGTCAGATAGTTCATTCCAGGCATTGACCATTCGGTTGCTGAAGTCATATTTTCTGCAATTGAGTTTGGAGCTGTTCACTTTAAGTTTGTATCTATTGTGTGCTCGTGTATTGTTGTGGTTGAAGCTGAAGTAGTCATTGACAGGTAGGACGTTGTAGCAGATAATTTTATGAGCTACACTTAGGTCATATCGAAGGCACGTAGTTTTTATCCTGCCTGCTCCTTTCTCTTTTAGGTTATGAAACACAGTGATAAATCCAGATGAATATGAACAAGAATCTAGGTGTCCCTGTTCCTATTTCAGTACTTTCACAAGTACACTATGCTGGCTGTCAATGTCTTGATTACCCATGTTGGACTACACATTCATTCATTCATTCATTCTTTGTTCCTTTTGTCTTGAGAATATTGGAAGTTAATCTACTATATTTGGAATTTAGCAAATTTGGGAAATTTGTATAGAAAAACATATATAAACTTAAAATACTTATACTTCTGTGACTATCAATTTTCAGAGAATATTAATTAACTTTGCAAACAGTAAGTGACTGTGAATAGATGCTTATGCAATGGTAAATGCAGTATTTGGCAACTGTGCACAAAGCTTATAATTCTGAGAAACATGGATGCTGTATGCTTTTATTAAATCCTTAATCCTGATAGTTCTAACAATAGTTGGAAGGCAAACTGTTAGTGAAAGATACTGAGCTTGAATTGGGACTATTTAGTATTTCTAGTAGTGAAGATTTTAGTGGCTATCTTAGCCTTTTCCCACCAACATGCATTGATGTTATATATTTGATATAAATCTATGGGCACACTTCAAAATTAAGACATTTTGGCATGAAACTGCGTTACCTTGGTACATAATTTTCTTTTAGCACAGTCTGTGCAACTCGGAAGTGTAATCATAAATTACATTAACAACACTTAACTTTAAAGGAGATGGTAGAAGGTAATCTAACAACCACTTTTATTGTACTGGATTTGTTTAAAGATGTCCTGGTTCTGTAACTTAAAAGGAGAGAAGAGAAAAAAACTTGTTCTTCTAATAGTGCAAGATGGGCATGGAAAAGAAGATTCTAAGAACATCCAGTATTATCAAATGTTATTTAAGCATATTCATGAAAAACAATTTTAGATTCATTATTTCCAAAGTGTCTCTTCTGTTTTGCTTCTCTTTTATTATTATTTCTCTTTTTCCTTTAACTATTGTCTTATTTTTTAATTCCCACTCACTCAAATATTATAGAACAATTTCTTTTATTCCTTCATTGTGATAATTTACAATAACATAAGTTATTGATCATTTGTAACATCAGTGGTTGGTCAAATATTCGTTTCACTTCTGTGTTATGTTTCTATTATGCATTTGTTTATAGAGTTGGTGTTTCTGTTTAGTGCTTTAGTATTGGTGTACTAAATGATTTGTCATTTGAAATTGGATTCAGTTTTGTTCGAGTCAGAAGGATTTTATTATATGACCAAAACACAATGGAGCAGATCAGTAATTTATTATTTCATGTGGAATGTTTTCAGAGATATAAAAACTTTTATGAGCAATCCATTAGAAAGTGATTTGAAAGAGTTTCAGGGGATATGGGGGACATGACCTCCTGAAAGTTGTGAGCAAATTTGAGAGGGACTGACTGCAGGATTCCTGAGCATGTAAAAAAGAACTTGTTCTATCTAGACAAACTGCCTGTCAGATTGGAGAAGCAAAATAGAGAAGAAAGCTTGAGGAAAGTCTTCCAGGACTCCCAAGTTTGTGTGAAGTCTCCTGGCATGTACATTCAAAGTTGAATTGCTGTCAGAACTGGTCTCTGTTTTGCTTGGATGAGCTGGCAGCTGCCTTGTTCAGGCAAAATAGAAGCGAGTTCCAACAAGGTTCCAATTGCCCATACCTAGACCCAATGTAGTCTTCATTTTTATGCTTGGAGGGCTTAAACAAATGCACTTAGCATTTTAGATGACTCCACAGCAAAATTTGGGAACTTCCTATTAAGGTATCTTTTCAAGAAGATGGAATGTGTCTCTGTTGTCATTTTTCTATGAACTGGATAGTTTTGAACAGAAAGAGGTCTGTTGGCTTAAAGCTAACATTTTTCTTTTTATTATCTGTTAAATGACTCTTCCAGTTTTCCCAGCAGCTTGGCTATTGCTGAACTTTCTTTCTACCCAGTGATGTATTGATAATGGCTATAAATGACATTGCTGTGCAAGTTAACTAGCCAGAAGGAAGATTCTAAAAGACTTAGCTGAAACATCAAAAATATGTATGCTTGTTGAATTAGCGCTTTGAAGAACGTTTCCATCCCATTTCCAGAATCTCATTTTCAAATTATTTATTTTAGATTAGGGGAGAAATTAATCCTAAATATCGGAAGTGGATAAAGAGAAAAAAGAATGAAAAGAGAAATGTGGAATGTGGAATACAAGAATTCATTTGTGACTACAGGAAGAAAAATAGACAATGTGTTTCTTTAATAAAATGTAATTCTTTGTTCCTTGTTAAACTTTGTTTCTTTAGGACACAAAGCTTATTAAATTCATTTGGAAAAACCACTTAATCTATACTTTATATAGATTTTAATACATAAATAGTATATTTTATGCACCTACATAAGGGGCTTATCATGGAATTATGAAGTTAAATGGGACCATTTAGGCCATTGTGTCTAACATGTCATTCAGTGCAGAAACACAAATTATTGTCTACTCTCCACTTTTCAGATCTGTGAAGAAGAGCCCACAATCTGTCTGAATAGCTGGTTCCATTAACCTACCTGAATATCTCTTATTCATAGGAAGGTTTCCTAACATTCATTTTGATCTTGCCCTCAGGTGATTCAAATCCATTATTTTGTATTCTTCTCTTTGAAACGATGGAGAATAGAATTGGCCATGTTCTGTGTGTCATGCTTTCAGATATTTAAAGAGTACATCATTTCTGCCTTAATTCTGTTTTCACAAAGCTGAACATTCTCAGTTCCTTCAATGTCTCTTCATTAGACTTTGTTTCTAGTCCTCTCATTTCCAAATCTCTTCTAATTTGTCTTTGCCAGCAATTTATATCAGGAAATATCCTAGTTTGACCTGTACAGATTTGGGTAATATGATTGCTTCCTTTTTTGTTTATTTATTAGTTTATAATATAGTATATAATACAAAAAATACAAAGGGAAATAGTAAGAAAATAGGGGAGGAAAAAGGAAAGGGAAAAGTGTAGGACAAGGGGAAAAAAGAAAGAAAAAGTGTTGACTTCCGACTCCCTTTGGTGTAATAGAATAAGATAATAACATCAAACCTCAACTTTTTTACTTTTACATAATAATATAAATACTGAAATATAGGTGTTTCTGTAACAACAACCTTATTTATCAGTAAAACCCAAAATCAAAGTTTCATTTTTTCCACTTCAAACACAAAGTCCAGAAGTGGTTTCCAAATAGAAACAAAAGTAATTGTATTTTTTTCTTTGATAAAAGCAGTCAGTTTTTCCATGTCTACACTAATTCCATCAACTTTTGCAACTATTCACACATTGTAGGAATCCAAGTGTCCTTCCATTTTTTGTGTAAAGTAAACTTGCTGCCATTAACATATATAACATCGAAGTTCCAAGTCTTTTTCCATTAAACCCAGAAGAAAAGTTTCTGGTTTCATTGTTATATTCACTTTGGGAATCTTCTGTATTAAGATGTAAATCCTACTCCAATATTGCTTTGCTTTATCATATGTCCACCATAAATGTACTGTTGATAGCTGATAACACAGTTTCTTTCAGCTGAGCCTAGTGAATTTTTTAAATCTTAGTTTAATTGAAAGATAAAAAATAGCATTGAAAGGATTGGTGTTTTACCATGTTCATTAACAAATTTGTGGACTGAACAGGCATTACAGAATTGGATCTTATACTTCTGAAAGCCTAGTGACACTATAGTACAGCTTGAGAATTTGTTCATTATCTTTGCCTATGGCATATTTTTTTCTCCCAAAGTGTATGGGAATGGAAGCGGGAGGCAAATTATGTCATTTTATTATTCTCCTGCATTCAAAATCCTTTTGCAATCCTGAAGCATATTCTGAGTATCAGAGGAAACTAAGTATGAAAAATAAAGAGTTCCATTAATTCTGGCTGAAAATGTCAAAAATAAAAGTTAAAACCGTGAAGAAATTACCAAAAGTCTTATTCAGTGGTAAGGTACCTGTTTTATTGACATTTCTAATTCCTGCTTGACTAATCATAAGGAAAGACACCCAAATGAAAATGAAAATATAGCATAGTAGGGTTCTTTTGCCTTATTAATATGTATGTCTCTGTATATTTTTCCTTACTTAGGTGTCTGAACATCAGCATTTGGATCACCTAGCTGAAAAGTTGGAGCAGACTGAGAAGAATGGTTCGGTAAGATTGTCAGCATTCTTTCAGTAATTGTCTCCTATCTAATTCATATACCATTAGTGCATATTTTGTTTAGAGATTTATATATCCAGCATAATTGTTCTATTCAATATATACTAAAGCTCAAGGTTACTTGTTTTCAGTTTAGTATGCTATACAGGTAGTCCTTGACTGATAACAAAAATTGGGACCAGAACATTTGTTGCTAAGCAAGGTGGTTGTTAAATGAGTTGTGCCCAATTTTATGACCTTTTTGGCCATGATTGTTAAGTGTACACTGTAGTTGTTAAGTGAATTATATAGTTATTAAGCAAGTGTAGCTCCCAACATCGACTTTCTTGTCAGAATCCAGCTGGGAAAGTTGCATATGGTGATCATGTGACCCCAGGATGTTGCAACCATCGTAAATACATGGTTACCAAGCATCCAAATTTTGGTCATATGACCATGGGGATGCTGCAACAATAATAAGCATAAGGATCGGTCATAAGTCATGTTTTTCAGTACTGCGGTAACTTTGAATGGTTGCTAAACAAATAGTTGTAAGTCAAGGACTATCTGTATAGACTCAACCTTTATGGCATAAGGTGATTTACAACCTGGTCTCTATGATTTGTTCATTAATTGATTGATTATGTGGCATCTAGTTACATAGACAGATGTGCCAGCAACCGCATGACGATCTGTACCTAACTGGTCTTCCAGTGATGTACTCATTACCACTGTAACTGAGTCCAGCCACCTTGTTGCTAGTCATTCTCTTAGCTTTCTTTCCAACTTAACTGGCATTAGAGCCTTTTCCAGAAATACCATGGTTTGCAGTATTCTGATCTTCATATGTACAGACATCATGGCAATTGAATATTTTGGTATTCTTTCTCAATTATCCAGCATGCATCAGGAATTATGTCTTGTTCACTAAATCATTTTGGAAATCCAGGTGATAGCAGTAGATATGGCATTGTAATGCATATAGTGCATTAATTTAAATTTAGAATTTAAATAATAGTACAGAATACTCAGGTAAGACTATGGTGCAGCCCAAAATATTTGGCTGCTTTTGTGAACTAATCTAAACATGGAAAGATGCCTCCAACTTCTCTCCCTCTTTGAGACTGTGCTGTCCTTGTGTTAAAGATACAATCACTTGCTAGACTGCCCAGTTATATGTTTGAAGCTATAAGACTGTGATGGCAAACCTATGGCACGCATGCCAGAGGTGGCACTCAGAGCCCTCGCTGTGGGCACATGTGCCGTCGCCAGCTGCTCTTCTAGTTTCCGGTGCACCCGCTGATCTTTGCGTGTGCCAGAAACCTGGAAACCTGGTCTTTGTGTTTCCAGGGCTCTGGTGCATGCGAAGACCAGCATGCATGCCGGAAACCAGAAGACCAGGTGGCCATCGCATGCATGCACACTGGCCAGCTGGTCTTCAAGTTTCCAGGGCTGCGGTGTGTGTATGCGTATGCGCACGCGCACGCGCGTTCTGGTTTGGGCACTCAGTGCCGAAAAGGTTTGCCATCACTGCTATAAGAAGCTATAGAAATGATAACAGAAGTGCTGTTTGTGTAATGATCAAGATAGTCTTGATTTCTTGATAGTGCAAGTCTTATTTCCTGTAGGAAACAGCTGTGCAAGTTTCTAGTTTTAACTGTCTAAGCTGCCTTCCATTTTGTCTTGCTTTACAGCTGCCTAAACTCAAAAAATTTTGCTGTTAAAAACAGGATGTTCAGAGATTAATTGATAGAAACACTTACATGAAAATCATACTCATGACATATGAGAACAGAATGTGGCGTGCATGAAACTAATATTTGGCAAATTGTTTTGCTGTTAGTCTCACAATGTTAACATGTCATAATCCAATTAAGCATCCTTAAATGAGTAAGCACTGTGGTATTTATGGCCCAGTTAGGTGGCAGCACATAGCTGAATTTTGCTGATCTTGGAAAACTGAACAAGGTTATAATACTTGGAAGTGAGCTCATCAAGAAATAATAGGATTGTATACTACTAGAGTGGGACTTGAAGCATGATTTCAGAAGGTGGAAATGGCAAATAATAGGAAAATATTAAGAAAAATGCCCAATAAGTCATCAAGAAGACTTCATCATTTATTTGTGACTTTCAAACTTCTGAATGCTTAGTGAACTGAAGTACCTTCTGGAGAGCAGTCTTTCAAATCAGATTGCTGGTGAAAGTGGCTTCTTTCCCCTAGCACTATTTCTCCCAGAATAGATGAGGCAAAAGGTACTTTGGCTTCAGGGGTGTAAGGACAGATTGATGTATGTGAATTCCTCCTCAGAATGCAGAATAGGGCAAATGTTAAAACAGTTGGATGGTGAAAGCAGCTTCACTCCATTTACAAGAGAAGTCCCAGTGCATGCATCTGTTATCTGAAAATCAGATACTGTACATGCATTAATATGAAAAAGTAATTTATGCACTTTTGGCATCCATCCCAATATGGTGTTTGCAAAATTATTTCTGAGTGTTTAAAACTACTTAAAATAATCATAGGAGGAATGGCTAATTAGAACTGATCAGTACACTGAATATATAGGCATTGGATCCTGAGTAGGGTGACAACAGGTTCAGAGGAAGTTATCCTGGGTCATAGATAATGAATTAAAGCAAGCAGCTTCCTTTGTCTGAAACAGTAACTTTGAGACATAGTCTTATTCTTCATTTGCAATCACTTGCCATTAGGAAATGCAAGACCCATGAAATTATATACTAGAGATTATGTTTAATAGTTTTGTAATTACTGCCTTGTGTCTTCAGCTTAGCTTAGACCTAACAGTTTAAAGTTGGCATGGCCAAAAAAAAAAAGTAGTGAAAATATAATAATAGAATGTATTTTTCAAAGAAGGTTTGAAGCTGAGAATTATTGTGCTGCTCCATAGGTTTCATCGTTTTAAATTGCTCTTGTTTGTGCTACAGACTCGCATTTTTTTCTAAGTTTATTAAAATAGAAATAAACTGATGTGTGAATCATAACAAATGTTCTACTTTGATTTTTTAAAGTTTTATTTTAATTATAGTTAGGTGCTTTGTACCTTGGTGGAAACTTGGTGGAAAATATAGTAAATTAATTATTCACAATGACTACAAGTAAGATTTCCAAAATTCCACACATCTATTGGCAAATAGGTAGAAAGGAAGTATTAATTATCTAACCAAATCCAGTCTGCTTTCAAGCCAAAAAACCTTTGATTTGCTTTACTGCCAACTATTCAGTGGGAACAGGATGAACATGAATATCAGTATAATCAGTATCATTTCATACCCTTAATATTTGTATCTTGCTAGAATGTTTGGGAATTGGAATGCTATTTCTGAGAGCTCACTTCTTTCAAGGTTAGTTTCAGTGAACAGTATTAAGAGTTCTGTTCATGGCAGGTGAGATTGTAAAGTCTTGAAGAGTTTCATAACTTTTCCTCAGTATGGCAATCTATCTTCCCATTCTGTCTGAATTGGGTGGGATATGGGTTGACTGCTGGTGGCTGGAGAAAATGATGACACTAATAAATCGGTGTATATTGCAGTAACTATGCCTATTGGCTCACAAATCAGAAGCCGACCACAAACTGTGACTTCGTTCTTTATTGTATTCTGAAATTAAACCAAGTAGAGTTCCCAGTTCAGACAATATGTTAAATGAGCTACAAATAAAATTGCTGTGATTTGCTTGCAAGCAGATTTTTAGGGGTGGGGGTGGAAATGAATCATGGTGTTTTCCCATGTTCTGCAGATTGAGTCTAAAACCTGAGTGGATTACAGAAATTATTTTACATTGAAATAAAAGTTGTTGACTTTTTTGAAAAAGTATTGTAATCAAGATTAAGCAGGCATAATACTATACATTCTGTCACATACTGTATTATCTCACTGTTTACCTCTATTTCCAGTTTCTTATACTTTTTGTATTATTCCTTCTACGTTGAATTTTAGATTGTAAGCCTATCTAGGCAAAAAATGGGACATATTTCCTGAAATAGCTCTGATTTTGATATACTTACTTTCTCTTGTTTGCCAGAACCCAAGATATGTCAAGTCACCTTCATCATCATCAAAAATTCTGTCTGGTTATATTTCTTGTATTGCAGAGTCATGTGAAACATAAGGCTCCTCATAGCAGACATGTAATCTTTATAGTTTCGATTTGATTGAAGTTGTTTTAATTTTTATATTTCATAGAAAAACAGGTAGTCCTCAACTTACAACAGTTCATTTAGCGACCACTCAAAGTTACAACAGCACTGAAACTTATGACCATTTTTCACACTTATGACTATTGCAGCATCCACACGATAACATGATTTACATTCGGATGCTTGACAACTGACTCATATTTATGACAGTTGCAGTGTCCCTGGGTCCTGTGATCCCCTTTTGTGACCTTCTGACAAGCAAAGTCAACGGGGAAGCCAGATTCACTTAACAACCATGTTACTAAAATAGAACTGCAGTGATTCACTTAACAAATGTGGCGAGAAAAGTCATTAAATGGCGCAAAGCTCACTTAATAAATTTCTCATTTAGCAACATAAAGTTTGGGCTCAATTGTGTTTGCAAATTGAGGACTACCTTTATTAATCATTAATGTAGGTCCACTCTATACAACTCCTGAGAGTTGTATAATTGCAATGGTATAAAAACAATGAAATAAGCTTAAACTAAAATAGTGGCATTCATTGAAATGCATTACTGAGTCATTGCTGCTGGCAAAAAGAGATTAAAAAATGATGTGTAATCAAGAAGCCTGCTATGAGTGGCATTGCAGTATCACTCTGAAGGAACAGGATTTTGCCGAGAATTTTTTAAAAAAAATTGTTAAGGATATTGTTGAGTGACACCCGAAGTTGTGGCTTATGAAGCAGAGTACCATTAGAGTTTTACGCACGGAAACGGTTTGAGAGTAATTGTGAATAACATACATACAAACTGGGTTTTATAGTATTTTACTTTTAGCGAAAAGCAAAATCATAGTCCATCATCATCATCATCATCATCATCATCATCATCATCATCATCATTATTATTCAGATGAAATTTTATAATTATGTAAAATTTATAATTGTATATAATTTGGGTTTATATAAAATTACAGCACTACTGTGAAAATTGGGATTCTAGTTAAAATGGTTATTTCATCCCTCTATTTCCCTTGTCTAAGGAACAGATTTTCTGTTGTATATAATCCAGCTGTGGTTTGCACAGTGCTTTTGGAGAACCAGTGGAAAGGTATCACGCTTTACTCAGACAGATGCTTAAATTAGAAGGCTTGTAGGCAAAGATTTGGAGACATAACTCTCTTGTCTTTTTAGAAGCATTGGAGATGGTTCTATGGAAGTCTTTAATAACAAAGAAAAGCAGCATGATAAATGGTAAAATTCATACCATATATTTAGTGTAACCAAGATTGAAAGTTTCTTTCTCTTGTCCTTGCATCACAGCAGGCTGAGAAGCATTGATTTTTTACTGGAAGTAATAGTTGATTCCCATGGATTGTTATTGTAATGGACCAGTCTTATCTCAGGCCTTCTTCTGACCACACCCATTCAGACAAGAATAAGCCTCTGCCTATTAGGCATGAACTCTTGAAATTGCTTTTGATGGAATCTGGCTGAGTTATAGTTATGGGAATAAAAACTGAAGGATTGTCTTCACATAAGCAGCCTTAAGGGAGAGGTATTCATAATAGACTGCTTATGCTGACCGCAAAATGACAAGCTTTGACATTGTCAGATAAATAAAATAGCTATATACTTGCATCAAAATTATCTGAAGCAATTGTGTCAGTTGCATAGTAACATCATTATGCATGTAGCATCATTGTCTTCCTTCTTTTGCTACCATAAGCATTGACTCCTGAAGGAAAGGCGGCTATCTATAAATTAATAAAATAAATGTCTTTTTATATATTGAACCACATGTTGGGTTATAGGGAATTAGGGGTTTTCTGTCTTGAATTAAATATTTATATTTTTAAAATTCTTTGGTGTATTCCTTAAACATTTTAAAACTGAATTTCCTTTGTAGGCTTACTACAGCTTTTTTCCGTTCTTTCACCACTCCAGGGACATGATGTGAAGATTCCATCAAACAGCACACATGTATGTTTTTAATTGCACATGAAAACTAGTTCTGGATCCAATTCTGCAGTTGAGGCCAATATTATTCTGTAGGAAAATTACTGACTTGTTTATTTATTATGGTTGTTTGGGTTCCCTTTTGTTCCTTTGTTTGGAATAATTTCCATTTTCTGAAAAGAAAAAAAAGCTGGTAACAAGTTGGTAGTTTCATTTCCAGAAAGATTCACTTATCTTTTTCATTCAAGTTTTGAAGTCATTTTTAAAAATGTAACCTTATCGCCTAGAGCACAGCAAAGATTAAGCTATATATTGGATATCCTGCACAGCTCTGTTAGATTTCTATTTCCTTTGTCAGATTTTATTATTGTTTACTAAGAATGTTATTTACTGTTAATATGAGGAAGGATTGTGATTATTTTTTTATTCCTTGCCCACTTTCTACTGTACACTTAGCTTACTCCTTTACAATCTTATTACTGTATAATTTTGTCAGTTGAACTGTCTTCCTTCTTATTTATAAGGCTTTGTCACTGAAATAGGAAATAGAATATGGACTATAGAATCATAGGGCTGGAAGGACCTTGAAGGTCTTTTTTTATATATTTGTATTTTATTTTATTTTATTCAGAACATAGTTAAATAGAAAACACAAAACTCTATAAAAATCCAAGAAGACATAAATGAAAAAACAGGAACCACAAAACAGTCAGAATGTTAAAAAGCACATTATCAGTGCGCGGCAAACCTGTGGTAAAATTATATGAGACCCACCTCTGTTCTTAACAATAGCACTTATATAGTGCTTCTTAGTGCTTTACAGTCCTCTCGAAGTAGTTTACAGGGTCAGCATATTGCCCCCAACAATCTGGGACATCATTTTAGTGACCTTGGAAAGATAGAAGATTGAGTCAACCTTGAGCCAGTGAGACTCAAACTGCTGGCAGAATTAGTTTGCAGTACTGTGTTCTAACCACTGCACCACTACAGCCACCAAGGCTCCTCTTTTTCCTATTGCAGCTTTTCTTTGTCTTTTTACTTGAACAATTACTTACTAGCTCTTGGACCATAATCTTTGCCCACAATCTGAAATTATTTGTTGCTAAATTAGATATAATTTGTTATAATTAGATATGTTGCTGTTAGAGATAAAAGATATATATGTTTAGTTGATGAGGGTCAAGAATTTTTTATGCTCTTCTTGATATATGAAATATTGAAGTATTTTAGTGTTTATTTAAATGTATGGATAGTTGAAGTCAACAATACATACTGTATTTAAATGTGAACTTGGCTTAGCCGATTAGCTGTTTCACTGTTGAATGCCTAATTCTCATTATTTGTGTGGAGGATACAAGTTACTCACTATGTTTATTTTGTGTTTCAAAGTGAGAACAAGCCTTTAAATCAATATTTCAAACTGTTGATGGAAGAACACAGAAAACTGTGAAACTCAGGTGTAACATAGTTAAACAGTATATTCAAAATCCCTTTGATGATGGCCTTTTCTGATGGCCCTTTCACCTTATTTTGCCACTAAATTGTGTACCTCTTGTTCCCTAGAAGAAATGAGCCCCCAGTTCATTACAGACAATGAGCAGTAACTTTGGAGGCTGAGTCATTTTCCGATTTTAACTTCTCTTTCCATCTTACCCAATTCTACACCAAAATGCCTTTTTTGAAATACAAGAAACAAAATCATTGCCTTATTCTTTTTTTTATTTGTAGTACAGAGCTTTTGATCCTCAACTTATATTTATCTTATTTCTAGATTGTCAGTAGATTGTCAGAGAAGAAATGGGAATTGCCTGTTCCCCAGCTTATACCTTCATCGCCAGTGAGTACTTTATCTTCATTTGCTCTTCAGATAGTGCATCTCTCTTTTTCCACTCCTCCTTTCCTATTCTTTAAATAACTGAGCTCATATTAGCTATTCCAATAGATGAAAACAGGCTCATAAAGTGGTGATGTATTTCATTTGAAGCTGTGATTCATGTTAGTGCCCTCCTGTGCCTTGTTCGCTTTAGTTGCAACCTTTTAATCTTTCAAAAGACTTCCTGCGTCAAAGCAGTGTTTTGTGATTTGATTGGAAAATAAAAAACACAGAAAGAATTGTATAACAGCTGCTAAATGCATCTTCTTATCTAGAACATTTATCTAGAACATTGTAACACAATCACCTGAAAGACTTGACACCATTTTGGCACCTGGCAGATGAAACCCATAACCCCCCCCTGCCCCCCAAAAAAGGCAAAAGAGAATGAAAGTCCATCTCGGTCACCTTATAGTTTCTTAGATTGTAATACATTTTTTTTTATTGAAAAAGTTTTCAAATACAAATTTTTCCCCCTTTTTTCCCCCCTCTCCCTCCCCCTCCCTAACCCCCCCTCCCCACCCATCCCCCCCTGTGACTTCTTCATAACAAAAAAAAAACCTAATTCATAACAGATTACTTACTCCCTCCTCTAGATATTGACCTTTACTTACTAAAAATATTATTAATATTATAACATCCCCCTTTATCCATACATTTCAGAAAAGAGAAAAGAAAGGAAAAAAAAAAAGACATTATACTATAACATTATAGAATAACTTCTCCACTTTAAAACTATACGATAAGTCCTACTTTAACATTTAATCTTCTATATATGTTACTATAACATTTCAAAGCGGCCTTCCCCATAAAATCTAGTTTAACATTTATTCCACTCTATCCATTTCCTCCACTCCCCTAAATATATCACTTAAAAATCCCTTTTCTTAGACTAATCAATCTACTAACTAGCTTATTCACCCACTATCATACAAAATTACCATACACAACATTTCTTAATATCTTTGATTCACTGCCCACACTACTTAAAAATATATGTCTATATTTTCCATTATATCTAAATAAAAAAAAAGAAAAGACAATGACTTTAAATTTATAATCCATATAGTATCTTCTTTGAGGTCTTTCCACTGGATTGGTAGAACCAACATCCCTAATCGGGTAACATAGCTTGCTGGTGCAACAGTTTATTCAGGATCTTCAATCATATCTGCCCCCATCAGTAGTAAATATCTTCTTATATGTATAAAAGTAAAAACAACCACCCGAGTGACATTATAATTATATTCCATATAGTAATAATTGTGGGTTTCATCAGGATTATTAATTCCCATCATCGTAGTGGGTAACAACCCGATCTTCTGCATGCCCCAACATCATTCTCTTGCCTTGTGATTCAAGATAATATAATATGTTTATCAACACAAAGAGAAATTCCAAAATGGATAATTCAAATCCATCAGTTTAAGGCTCATTTCACGTCCCCAAATTACGGCCATGCAGAGATCTGCCACAATCCTCAGGATGATATTAACCAATACGTCGCCTCTTCTGTGTTTACACATAATCATTCATATTTTAAAGTCACTGGCTTCACTGTTGCCTAATTTAAAAATTTCTATTTTTATGCCACCTATTTCTCTTTTTCTTTTCTTTTTGTGGGTTTGGTTTCCATCCTGGTTTCCTTTCTACAAATTGTGTATCATCTGGTCGGTTTTTATTCTGCTTTGTAGATTGGTCTTGTTGGTTTTGTTTTTGTATCTCATGTTTCTTTTTTATCCCTTGTATATCCCCTAGTAGGTTTCCATGCTTATCCTTGCCTTGATAAGTCATCACATTAAAATTAGATGCCACTTCTCTCAAATTTGTAGATAGTCCAGCTGGGGTATCCAATAAGTCCAAAGACAATTCATCTGGTACAGTCTCTATAATTCGATATTTTACCTTTATTTCCGGCTCCTTCTGCTTATCCTGTATTATACCTGAAGATGTTAAGTTCATTTTCAACCTATTTTGATAAAATTCTTCCGCTCTTTCAACAGTATTTAGCTGATATCTTTCCCCTTGGTATCTAAATATAATACCAACTGGGGCGTCCCACCTGAATGAAATATTTTTCTTTTTTAACTCATTCACCAGAAAACCAAATTTCTTCCTTTCCATCAATATCTTAGGTGGGAGTTCCTTGTAAATCCAAATCTTTCTTCCATACAATTGCAAATTAGAATTGAAGGAATTTTGCACGATATTATTCCTAATTTCCTTATCTGTAAAATAAATCACCACGTCTCTAGGCAATTGCCTTTGCTTGGCAATCCAGGAGTTGATTCGATAAACTCTGTCAATCCTGCAAAACACTTCGTCAGGTTGAACCTTTAGAATCCCAGCTAGAAATTCAGAATTATTTTCCTTAAATCATCTCTATTATTTTCCTGCAAACCTCTTAATCTTATCGCATATTCTGTGAAATTATATTGTACCATTAAAATCTCTTTTTCAATCTTCTGTTGCAGATTTTCTGCATTACCATACTTTTGATCAGCATCCATTTTAGGTTTTTCTTCTAAGCTATTATCCTGAGTGTTTATCAAATCATTTTCAATTTTTTGAATTCTATTGTCCAATTTATCTTGAATTTCTTCCATTTTAGACTCTAGTACATTAGTATTTGTGTCCAACTGTATCATAAATTCTGTAAAACCATTAACCACTTTTGAAAATTTTTTGTCCAAAGAATCAAACTTAGATTTCACCAATTCTTTAATTTCTTTAATTTCCTGCTTAAATTTTTCAAGTTGCTGATTCACAATCTCCTCCCTTCTTTCAATCTCCTCTATAAAAAATTCTGTTATATTAAAATCAGGTTTCTGAGACTGAAGAGTTAAGACTTGTTCCTTTAAATTATTGGTGGGGGAATCCCCCCCCCTCTTGTTTATCTGACTTTATGAGTCTCAGTGCCATGTTTCCGCCCAGGCAGGCTTTGTTAAAAAAAAAGCAAGAAAGACTTCTTTCCAGTCCACAACAATATCAGATCTCCAAGGGAAAAAAAAAGAGAAAAAGACACAGGAGCGAAGTTTTATCTACAAATGTAGCCAGATTGTAATACATTTTGTTATAGTTTAATGTGAGCTCATGAATGAAAAGTGGAATATAAATCTAATAAAATATAATTGATTGATAAATGATTGATTGGTTGGTTCGATTTATATGCCGCCCTTCTCCAGAGACTCAGGGCGGCTTACAATGCGTTAAGCAATAGCCTTCATACTTTTGTATATACCTGCTTAGTAGGGCTTTCGCGCACCCCCCCCCAAGCAGTGTTCTTTTTTATACAAAGTCAGTTTATTACCCCCACAATCCGGGTCCTCATTTTACCTACCTCAGAAGGGTGGAAGGCTGAGTCAACCTTGAACCTGGTGAGATTTGAACTCACAGTAATTGCAGGCAGCTGGCAGTTAAGTACTACTTAACAGCACTTTAGTCCATTGCGCCACCAAGGCTCCTAAATCCTTGGATTACAAAGGCAATTGGGACCAGAATTTCTATTGCTAAAGCAATGCAGTCATAAAGCACAATGTTACCTGAATGTGATGCTTAGTATCAGTAATTCACGAAATCCCAATTGCTGGTGTCACCTGAGGACTGTATGGGTCATTAAGGGAGAACCTCATGCAATTTCAGCTTCCCCATTGACTTTTTTTGTGGGATGATGGCAGGGAATGCCAAAAGCCATAATCAAGTGTTCACAGCTCACTGCAATATCCTAACTGCCTATTAGACACTAAGCACTAATCTTTTTTTTTATTTTTAATAAAAGTTTAAAAATTAAAAAAAAAAAGACACTAAGCTCCCAGATCACAATCTCAAGACTACAAGGACACTGTGATAGCCTGAACTCCAAGGACCAGCCTGAACTCCAAGGATCAATTGTATATTGCACCCAAAATTATTTTTGTAATGTTTGGCTAATATAACAACAAACTTTTGTACTGAATTACTATATTTAGAAAAAATCCTAATCAGCTGTTTAAGTTGATTGGTGTAAAATGTAGAATAGCTGTGATAATTTCTCTTATATATGGGATAGGAGAATGGGGGTCATTGCATCTCACCTGAGGACAGGTGAGTAAGAAAGTAACAACTAAATTGGATAAAGCTGTGCAAAGCTTTAAAGGAATGCTTTGTTTCTGATGAAATTTCAGAATTATTTTCTAGAAGGATGAAGCTCTTCTTGCTCTTTTGCAATATAGCTGTTACTATGCAAAGAGGCTGAAATAGCTGTTCTTCAGCAAGGTTAAGAGATGCCTTCTCCTGTAGTGTGGCCAACCACAAATCGGGTGGCTGCATTACCAAGTGAGAAGCATATGCCTCAGAGCAGTCCATAGACAATTTCACTCCCTAAACTTTGGCTGGCAGGTCTTGAAAGAGGCAAGCCAAGAAACCCTTCCTCTCTCTTTGGTTTCCACTGGTTAAAGTTTCTGGGCAGTGCATCAGAGGAAAACAAGTTGATAGTGCTGCTCACCAATTTCTTTTTCTTGCCAAGTGGTCAAATATCCTGTTTGCAGGTGGTCGTTTATTTAAAAAAAATATTTGCTTTTGCTTTGGGGATGGGTGCTGGTGCTGGAATAGTTTATGCTTTGACTCTTACTTATTTAGGACCCCAACTTTTTTATTGACTTGAATACTCAAGAGGTAACATAGACAACTTAGTATTTGCTTTAGTCAGGATTATGAAATATTTTCAACCTGTGAGATGACAAAATAGTCTGTACTTCAATTACTTTTCCGAATAGAGATAATTCTTGCTTAACAATGGTAATTGGAACTAGAATTTCCATTGCTAAACAACATAATCAATGTTACGTCACATGACTGCATGGCTTAATGATGGCAATCCCAGAAGTTCCCATTGCTGTCATTAAGTGAGAATTACTGACCAATGTGAGGAACATTGCTGCCAAGTGGGGGAGTCTTACTAAAGTGACTTGCAGCCTTTTCTGCAA